AAACTTGGATATTCACGAGGAGTTTAGCAATTGCTATAGAGCCTATTGAATTTCCTCCATTCAATGGGCGATTTGTCTCTACTGCAACATTTATTGTGCGATCAGTTGGTTTACGCTTATTTATGGTTTATTTACTATCAAGACTCCAGGAAAAGTACGAAAGTACTTTTGGATATTTTCATTTTTATTTGTGAAAGAATTTTCGTAACTTGTACCTATATTTTCCGATCATTTGTTTGTTTGCAATCTTTGAGGGAAATTAACGTGTATGAAGACGTCAGTCTATGTTAAAAATTTTTTTAATTTTAAAAATATATTAAAATTGCGCAAGTTAAAAACTAAATAAATGCGCTTAAAAATATTATACGCTTAAAAATATTTAAGCGCAAGTTAAAAACGAAACTTGTTTGACGATACTCATGTGGCACAAGGCAACCATTTTATCCAGTAGAAATTCTTGGACAGCGAGGTCTAGAAATAAATTATTTGGCAGACGAATTTTTAGAAGAAGCAAATTGAATTCTGAGCTGGAACATTAGATTTAAGGCTTTATACCAAGGAAAAGGTTACATTTTCCCATCAAATCCCTCCAAGCAAGGAAAGGAAGCTAACTAGCTGGAGGTACGTGCCTCCGTTACCCTCCTTTTCTGCTGTGCTGGGTGGGGCGCCGCTACACCAACGTCCACGCACGTCGATTGCCGCGCCGGCGTCTGCCTTTGATGCTTGTCACCAAAAAGACTTTTTAGCTTCATAAGCTCATCGCATGATGAATGTTTATTTCTCAAACGCATGTTTCAAACGCATCGCATGTTTCTTTCAATATCCAGTGGCAAACAAGAAAAGAAAATCAACTATCTTCATGATAGAACTTACGGTCTTGGAGGTTGGTTTAGAATGCATCCTCTGGAGCGTCTACTGACGAAGGTCAGGAGGGAGGCGCTCAGCAGCAACGTGTCACGAGCTGTGACTTCTGATCGAATCTTCATCATGCAAATACGCATTTCAGTTGATTTGGTAGGAACAAATAACAAGAATTGTTTTGATGCACCAAGTAAGACACATTGCAACGACCAAAGTAACTCGACAAATTTTTCATCATATTGTTTTAATTTGAGTTTTACGGAATTTTACATCTCAAAACCTCGTTCAGAGACAAATTTTTAAACCAAAAGATGAAAAATGATTGCTGTAGCACTTAAAACGATGGGCTGCATGTGTAACCAAAATAACATTCGGTCACGCAGAATATCGCAATGGTTTAGTTAAGTGCTAATCTTGAAGGCCGCATCGCATACAGGTTTAACTATTTTTAATTTTGCGGGGAATGTTCACGATATGTTTACGAATGATATACGAGTAGTATATCGTTCATAAATTTAGTTTTCGGGCGTTAAACAGTTATATAATTTTCTGTGATCTGTTACCTCATGCAAGTTGCTCCTTTTTCTAGTTCCCCATCGAGATGCACCATTCACTCAACAGTGCGTGAAGGCTCTCCTTGGTAACCATCACATGAAGAATTTTAAAGCGGCCGGAAATTCGCTGCTTCTGTCTTAACGAGAATTGCTCCGTTGAGCGGCGTTATTCAGCGATGCTGGATGCATGACAAGACGTTTCTAGCTCCTCTCAGAATTGCATTTCATCCTCCACGGCGTGCGCATTGCGTATTGCATTTGATCTTGAAAAGCGCAGGGCGTTTTATTTGCTGCGTATTTTACGCAACAGAGCGCTCTGTTATTATCGCGTATATGATTATTGTGAAATAAGTCTTAGTTTAACCAATTTTGTGCTTGTATTATATACTAGTTATTTTTACCGTGGGATTATGTTTCCATAAAACTGTTTCCAAGCAGGAGAACGTTGCTTGAAGCCAACGTTCCCAATTAAAACGTTCGAAGCAATTTACGTGTATAGCACCTCGTCATATTTTGATTATCTTCGAATGAGTGAAATTATGACGAAAACCCCTTTGTTTAGCCACGATAAATAATTTTAATTGGGGGAAAAATCTTCATGTTTATCGAATGTGTTTATCTCTAGACTTTACGGTCACCAATAATTATAATCAATGTTTTACTTATCCAATTTTTCCGCGTGAATAACCATTCTGTGGTGACAGTGAACGAAAAAGCCGAAATTTCTTCAAGGAAGCCTTCTCTATTCTCCGATATGATCATTTGTCATTCGCCGCCTGTTCTGCTGAGACTGTTTCTGTACAATACGCGACTAATAATTGTCCTGTTCCTGCATTCCTTTGAGATCTTCGTTTGCACACACGCCCCATGTTACACGAGGTGCTCAGTTTGTCATCTAAGTAGACACAATAAGTTGCTTTGAAGAGCCAGATGCTGGAGATGATAGGTGTTGCATGGACTTCGTGGCATAAGTGCATACAATCTAGTCAAATTAAATCAAGTTGTCAGAATTTTTCTTTAAAAACCACATTGAGGCAATTTTTATTATTAACATTTGATTCAAATCAAGCAAAACGCACAATTAAACCACGTCGCTGTTATCGAATTGATCGAGATAAACGCAATCAACTCTTCTATCCCGCTTATTTTATTCGCATCCTTGATCGTAACTCCCAAAGCTTCTTTTCTCGTTTGCAGGCGACGATTCCATTTCAAAGCTTAATTGGCTCGTCGAGGAAACTAAAGATAATTGTAGCAATCCATCCTGATGGGAATGCATCTCTCTTGGTCCTCCATAGCTTCTGATGTTACTTACGTTGCTCCTGTCACTGTCCGGAATGTTTTGTTTGCATGATTTTACGTTGAACGTATTTGCAATATAAAAATATCATAAATCTTCACATACAGTGAAGACTCGCCCAATTTTCGGTGTCACGCTCGTGCATGAAGGGCTGTCACGTGCAGTTCGAATCTATACTTTCGCCGAACTTCACCTGATCGATATTTTGCAAGGCTTTCGCCCAAAAGAATGGATCGTCTAGTGAATTGAAACCACCTTCATATATTTTAGGGAAATTTTCGGTTAAATAAGTACCATCTCCTAAAGCTACTAAAACTTATCTCTTATTTTGAAATTTGGCTCCAGTTAGAAATTACAGAATTTTCTGTTCTCCATACAAAAATTACATACGTGCAGTAGCTTTTGAATAACTAAATGCTTTCAATATGCAGCTACTAAATGCATTCTTCGAAATCCTACACTTCACAAGGTTTACTACTAGGCAGCAAAGGATGATTGCCGTTGTTTTGAACAAAAATGCTCATTGTAGCCATATACTCTTGAAATTTTATCACAAAGTTTTATGACTATTCTCATCATCATTACCAGCGTTTTCGGGTCATGGTTATGTACGTAGAACACAATAGATGACACTTTTGTGATGTTTGGCTTGTGTGTGGTACAAAATTGCTCATGCTATTGTCGTACGAAAGTTGTACGAACGAGTTTTAGGTGATCAGTAATTAAAGTCTTCTGTAGAGATGCTAATATGTTGCAATTATATCCTCCCATTGTTGCTCTGTTTGTTTTACTTTAAAGACTTCATCTCGACTTGCCACTCCGGCCTTGGTAGGAGCCCATGTTTCGCGGCCCTCTTTTGTGAGAGAAATTTAATATATTTCACGCATGAGTATACAGTCTTGCTGGAAGCGGAGACGTTTCAAACTCCATAGAACAGGGTATTGCCGGAGGCGAAGATGTCATGTGCTGCACAAAACTCAGCTTTATTAGTTAATAGTATTGAATTGTAGGAGGCTGAATTTGGTTATACTCTATATACTATATAGAGTATAACCAAATTCAGCAATATGGAAGGAGTCTGGCATGTCTTGTTGTCCCTAGCGCTTACTATTTCAGGAAGCTCCTGATTATGTAGTAGCAATTAGGTTGAGATGACTTTTCTTATAGTGTTTCCTATTACTGTGGACACTGGCGACTTTTACTTAACGGTTACAGTGTTGCTGAATTTCCAGTGTTTGTTATTCCTTTTAATTTAGTTATTGAATTAAAACTCGGAATCGATATTAAAGGTATTCAGTTGAAATCTTCGGATAAACCACATTTGAAATTATTCACCTAAGTCCCCGGCGAAACAGTCTAGTGAGTAGATGCCGTACGATTCATTTAAATTATCGTCCCCAATAACAGAACAATGAGATTGACTTCCGTGCTGCGATCCTCCGTCCAATTGTCTATAAAAATTACTAGTGTGTTATTAGTCACCTCGGCCCCCGGTGTTACAATGATTGGTAGAAGAAACATCTAGATCTCTCTTGATTCTTTCAGACAATTAAGGTTTCCTGGTCCTCCGGGAGTACACATGAAAAAAAAACATTCGCGGTCTCTACGAACGTTGCCAGTATTGAAATTTGATTTTTTATTTCGGAAGTGTTCGACATCTTCATGGTCGTAATTGTGCAATTAAGAACAGATTCGTTCGATTTATGTTAGACGAGCTATAATCAAGCCATCCAAGGCGTGGTAGCTCACAAGTACAGTACGGAATCTTTCTTTTTGCTTCTCCGGAAGCCGTGACTTGACAATCTGATCGGTACTTTCTCGAGATTAAGTGTCGGGAGAGAACTGGAAATGCGTCGTTGATGTCAGTAATCACATTCTAGTTTCTACGACTCTTGTAACATTGTCCGCTCATATACAGTATTAAAAAAACAGATTATACGGATATTAAAAGTGCAAACACTAATCATCCGATCAGGTTTTCTTACTTCTACTCTTCTCATTAGTTTGTTCAGAGAAAAGTAGAATTCGTGTGTGTAAAATTATTTTCAGATATTATGTTTATTATTTTGTGTTTCTTACCCAGATGTTATTAGCTTTACATTAATATTCTTGGCACAATTTATAGGCATTTTTTATTTATAGATCATGCGTAATAATGGTATGTGGAAAAATGTTATTTTACAGGAAATACCGCTTTATCGACCATCAACTATAACACCTAAATACCGTTTTAAAGAAAACCAAAAGTCTAAATCAAATGAGAACATCAAATGTTATTAATTTCAAATAATGACGTCCTTGAATTTATTGTTGCTAGCCGGTGCATGTGTGTTTTGATAATTGTACAAACTATTTTTGTTATATTCGTTACGGGCGACGTGGTGCACGCAGAGCTTCAACTCAATCAAGCTCGCAATGTTAAAGTGGAGTGTGACTCTGGCCGGAGGAGCAACGCAGTCTCCCAAAAGAACTCCGTCCAACACGTTCCAGAAGAACAACATAGCAATTTCTAAAGGTAAATTCGTGAAGGACATCTCAATTTTGCCCCCGGCGTGTGGCTTCGAAAGCACAGATCTAAAGAACCGCAGTTACGACTTCCCTATGGATGACAGTGTTGGAAAAACTTCCTTTGGCGAACGAGAGTTTGTTTTGCCCAAGCATTTGGTGGTTCTAAAACCTCTTCGACGTCGTATGCCGGAGACAAGAAGAATTTTAAGGGTTGAAGTTCATTCAGACGAGTTGATGGCTCCTGAGAGTGTAGAAACTCAGAACACAGTCGACAAGTGTCAATCTGAAGAGGAACCCACCATACGAAATGTGTTCGTTCAATCGGATGAAGAAACCCCACCCAAACTTACGAGAAGTTCTTCGTCTTCGGGGGATAGTGTCGTAACCAGACGGACGAGCATCGCCACAGGATTTACTAATCTGGTCATCGAAGCTGCTTTTGAGTCCAGATTTAGAGACGAGGATGGATATCTGTCTAGTCACGACCCAAACCAGTCTGAACTCGGAGAGGATTATTACAACTCACTAGGGTCTACGCATGAATCACCAGACCGTCTTGGTGGAGAAATACCTAGGTCGGATGCTCCACGTCTGCTCAAAGTAAGCGGAAATACCACAGAAGATGATATTTACAGTGAAGCATGCATGCTTTTTGATTCTGAGTCGACTATTTATGAGAAGTTCAACTATTCGAATCCTAAAATGAATCGTATAGGCCAGGAAATGAACTTCTCCGAGTTCTGCGATAGCCGTCTTCTCAGTACGATCTCGAAGTCATCTGATATTGACGAAGAATCGGGCGAAGACGTTTCTATAACCAAAGAAATTGACGACAAAAGTAATTTTCGATCCTTTTTCACTCATAGCACGCCATTGAAAACCCCTTCTGTGCGATGTGAGGCGAGAGCATCTTTTCATGAAATTCCCGATGCGTCAGAAAAGATTGAAGTTTTCCCTCATACATCGCGAGAATTCAGCAAGTCTGCAGAGGACCTCATTTGCGAATCAGCTGTTAGACCCGGGGTTAGATTCGAGAGCATTTCTCAGTCTGAGCGAAAGAAAAAGAAATTAGGCTCAGCTTGGGATAAAATAAATTTTACTGGAAGCTTTGGCAAACGACGAGGCCGTTTTCTTTCCCCAACAAGCAAATTTGCTCTCGATGAAGCTGCAGAGAATCGAGATTCAGAAAATAGTCAGTGTTACGCTTCATCTACGTTGCCAGATCAAAGAAGCTTCTCGACGAAACGATGCTCAAGCGACTCTCAGCTCCTGGACGCAGCCCAAGTCTCGACCCGCGCCGATCCCCTAAATGACAATGCGTCGGAAGACAGCAGCTTAGCAAACGGTAGATCTGAGCCCGTCAATTCCTCGTTCAGACAGAGAATCAGTAAGTTCTTCCACGACTGTCCAAAATATCCATTAAGTAACTTAGGTCGAAGGGCTTCTAACCCCAAACTGGAACCGAGTCTTGACTCGACCAAGAGTCCCGATGACACCAAGAAGAAATTTAATTCCCAGTGGCCGTTCAAGGTCAGGTTGGTCAAGATGGAAAAGGTGCCATCTAATGGAGGTTTGAATAATCAAGAAAAACTCTCTCGATCGACAATATCGAGCATTACAAAGAACATATACAAAGTAACTCCTCGTAGCAAAGTGCCTGTTGAAACAGCAAAATTTTATGTTGATTATCACAAAGATCGTCGCGATATGACGAAAGAGCCACTCCATGATGTTCAGTTTTTTCACACGCCTCGAGTGAAAATGAAACCTCCTGATAACTTTCCTAAAGAAACGGTTTCAGATAACGAAAGTAAAGAAAAAAGTCTACATTCAGTGATTCAGTCTGATATTTTCACCCAAAAATATGATGAAATAAAATACAATCATAACGGCAAAGATGCGCCTCCTGCACCGGCAACCCGACTGCGATCCAAATCTTTGGAGAATGGCATCAAAAATGAAACAAGGACCGCAATTCCCGTACCTCGCACAATATTTCTCACTCAAGTAACTTCTAGCGGCCAATTCGCAGAAAAAGTCAGAGTGTCAATCTCCACGAGACATGAAACTCTCTCTCGACACGTTAACCACACTCTCCCTAAACGACGTTCTTCAAAAACTTCTGTGGATATAAACAGCAACCGACCGTCATCTGCCACTGGAGACGGTATCTACGAGCCTGTCGGTCGTCCTCTCACATCAGGCGAGGTCTACTTGACTTCAAGTTATGAATGGCTGGACTCGCCAGATTCCTGGAGCGAGCGACAGTGTTCTTCCATAAGAACCTCTTCTTTGCCAGTGAGTATTCATATCTTTTGATCGTCTGTTATGGATTAGGCAGTGATTACATATTTTTCGCTGACTCTTTTTTGACTGAACTTGTGTTGAGATTAAAAGTTTGATTATGATGCAACAAATAGGGGGCCTAGTGGTAATAGTTAAGAGTACCGGGATTAGAGCAGCGAGCTATGGATTCGATCGCAGCTGACTACGACATTTCTGGTCAAATCCGTGAGGCCGGGCGGGCAACGCAAACTTGAAACAGTGAGTTGCGTGTTCGAGAACCGCAACAAGCTGTGAATGTTCTGCGATGTTCAGAATGGGCAGTAGGTCCAACGGCCAAATTAACGCTGACACCGCTATACTACACTACACTATACTATAATCTATAATCACTATATTATGCTATAATATGCCATGATCTGTCTTGTTTTGATTTTTCAACGATTATTACTAGCTAGTACCTCACAGGATCTTTTATAGTTTGAACATGAGAAATTTTTAGGGACTCTAATTGAAAACGGTTTATTTGCAGTGTGATGAAAGAGACGAAATACTGAGGCTTAGTTTACAACTTAATAATTTTTATATTTTAGGCAGGAAAGTAGCATTGAACATCACAGTTAAGTTCTGGAGTGAGTTTTGGGATGAAATTTGAGCAAACTTCAATTTGTTGACGTTCAAACGACAATAGATTATCAACGTATATATATTCGCGTATTCATGTCGTCATCATCGTGAAAGCATGAATTTTGTATATTGCAGGAAAAAATAATACAGTTACTTAGCCAAAAAGGTGCATTCGCTCGTTTTTTCTTACTGACAGAGAATTTGTTTAGCATAGACTATAATAAATAGTTCACGCAACGTTGTGTCCGTCAGTCGGTGTTACACAGTTACACAGTTACAGTTACAAAGTTGATAAGAATTCGCGTATTCATGTCGTCATCATCGAGACAGCATGAATTTTGTAGATTGAAGGAAAAATATAATAGTTACTTAGCGAAAAGTTGATAAGTTTTCGCGTATTCATGTCGTCATCATCGAGACAGCTGACAGCATGAATTTTGTAGATTGAAGGAAAAATATATTAGTTACTTAGCCAAAAAGAGTTTTTTCTTACTCACAGAGAATTTGTTTAGCATAGACTATAATAAATAGTTCATGCACCGTTGTGTCCGACAGTCAGTGTTACACAGTTACAGAGTTGATAAGAATTTCATTATTTATTCAAGTTTCCAACGACGTACGGCACTAAAAATTTGTTCTTCAAGCTTGGGTAGTGAAACTTGGCCACCAGAATATGATATCGAAAACTTAGTCACTGTAACTTGACTCCTAAAACTTAGGCCACAAACACTTGTTAATTAAGCGTCACACAGTTTACTTTATTTTGGGTAGATATGGACAGAGCTGGGCAGCGCTACTTTGAAATGTAGCGGCCACTACCGCTACCGCTACATGCTCTAAATGTAGCGGGTGCTACCGCTACCGCTACACCCCCTAGATTGTAGCGGGCGCTACTGCTACCGATACAGTAAAATGTAGCGCCGCTACATTAGCCGCTACAACGGCCAAAATTATTGGAAATCTCTAAATATTTATTGTCCTGCTATTGGGATTTACTCATAAACATTTAATGATAATAAAACATTTTCAAAACATATCAATGCAACTTTATTGCAATTAACCTAACTGAAATAGTACGGGTTAGATACAGTAAATAAAAGTTAGTTATTTTTATGTTTTACCTTCCCTACATGGATGTCCATTTTAATCTACCAATCTCAAAAATTATCCACATATACATATAAAAAATCAGTCTTTTATCTGTATTTATATGTGGATAATTTTTGAGATTGGTAGATTAAAGTAGATATTCATGTAGGGAAGGTGAAAAAACCTGTAAGTGGTAACTGGTAACAACTTAACAAGTAACAACTAACATGTTGACACTAGTAACAGGCTGAGGTTGACAACATTACACCGAAATCATTCGTACAGTTTCATTCTGTAATTTATATTATATATGTATCATGCTGGTTTTTCAATAATATTCAATACTATTAAGTAAAATCTAAAGGCTTGATCTATAAATGAAGCGGTAGCGCTGTAGCGGCAAAACCTCGTATCGCTACTTAAATATGTAGCGGGTGCTACCGCTACAATTGCTTAAATGTAGCGCCGCTACCGCTACCGCTACATGTTGCGCGCTACTGCCCACCTCTGGATATGGACAGTTAATGAACAACTTGTTATGTTATGCAATTTGATGATGAATGCAATTGCATCACTAACAAATCAACCTTATAAAATCATAGTTTTTTATTTTATAGCTTGATTTACTCCTCTGCATGTATTTAATGAGGTACAACTTAACTAATCTTGTGCAGTAAGTGCCCTATATTTTGTTAAGGATGATCATAAATCTAGATCAATTAAATTTGAACGAGTGATTGATTCATGTAAAGATCTAGTATAAAATTTGAAAACCAAAGTTCATTTTTTATTTAAGATATTAAAAAAATTAGCACAAATTTTCTACGAAATTGATTTGATTTCTTCAAGACGGAATGCCTGAGCTCCGAGCAGCAGTTCAGTTTCTTCTGTAAATAGGTTCGGTTAGGTTTTAATGAGAAGCTACTTTGTCATTCGTATCTCGAGATAAGCAATCCTTGATATTTGAGAAATCCTGTCGTTTTGAATTACGTTATCCTAAATCTTAACCTTTTTTTATCTGTTTGAAAATTTGAAATTTTAATACGTTTATGTTTATAATAAGTTCGTTAATTGAAGAAAGCCCCGTTAAAACTGACACTGAACACGCAACTTTCCTTCGACGTCTTCAACGTTGAAACATAAAGTAAGCATTGATATTTTATATTGATTTACACTTAGCCAACTAAAAATCACATTTACATTTTTTAATCAAACTTTCCCTCCCAGAAATTTTTTGTCTAAAATCAACCACATACCACCACTGATAGTAATTTTCTTTTCTTCAGCTAAAATCCCGAGACGATAAGTATCGTGGATATGCGACCAAGTTGCCCCTATACATTTCCATCGCCAGGCTTCACGTAAACATTTAAAAATATAAAATCGGTTCTTTCTTATTGTTTATAACACGAGACAAGTGAATGAGCGTTTATTATTACAGGTAGGCTATTTACAGCGGGACAGACTGATGTGTGTGAGCTCTACTTATCTGTTGCATGTGGATAAGTTGAAAGAAATGGAATTTAACATGCCATTCATCAATTTAAATTGGTCTGACGCAATAAATTTTTAAAATTCTGCTTTAATTACGCTTTGGATGATTTGACACGAATGGACAGGCATTTTTAATCGTTATTTGTCACTCAGATATCAATACACGTTTCTATATTATTATGCCGATATTGTTTCATCATAATAGCCGAAAGATATACATATGTGTTCTACTAGTTTTCTAATTTGTATTCAATATGCAAAGAGCGGTCAATATTCATCCTATTCCCTCTCAGGAGGGACTTCTGACGCGTGTCTGTGCTCGTCAGAAGTCCTATGCGGGATTTCGCGCTCCTATGGGGATTGTTCCTGGGCGCCCCACCGCTGAGCTCGCGGTGTCTGACTGCAGATCTCAGTTGTGGGGTTAGGTTATTTATGTAGATAGGATTCTTTACATTAAATTATTATGTAGGTTGGATTCCTTACATTTCCCTTCTCTGTCTCTCTCGTGCGGGCGGCCGACGTCCCGTGTAAGCGACCTCTTGTTCGAGTGTCTTAGTTTCTGTTGCTTTTCACCTGTCCCTTCTTGTCACTTCGTTTTTTTAAGATGCTAACGCTGCTTTTTTCGAGCCAGCTTCAGCGGGCTGGACAATTTAGACCTTCCGCCCCTTGTGTGTGATGATTAATTTGAGGTATTGAATAATTGAGACCTTTCGCCTTGCTGCCCATTTTATATTTTGAACTCCGGTGCGAAATATCTTGATAGCTGAAGCGCTAGTAAACCATTCTACTACTACTACTAATCATCCTATTTCATTGACACATGCATTATCTACAAAGAATAAATTCGACGTCTCTAACACGTCATCTCACGCTCACTGGCCCCGTTACTCTTGTTTATTCATTGTTCGTTGCACGGAAGACGAGGATTCCTAAAGGAGTTTTCTGCCGGATGAACTCGTGAGGTCAGGTCACGCTTCTGCATTGGCATGTCTGCTGCTGCTCGCCCAGCAGTGAGGCTCACACTCACACCGGCTCAACCCAGTCAGTTGGCTTACAGACTTTGCGGTGGTGGGTAGTGTGTGGTTCAGTGCTACGGGAAAGCCCGGTCACTTTTCTCTGTGATAAAACGTTCGAAACTACCCGGAGATTGTAATTACATGCAGAAATATAAACGGGTGGCGTGATATTCGAAGGTGCTGTTTTGTGGGTTAATTTTGAAATGAAAGTTTTACAGGGCAAAATTAATTGATAGGCTGCACATTTCAAGGGAAGGATTTTCTCATCCGTCACTTTACAGTTTACAATGACTACCTTTTACTACAACTTCAGCGATAAACCGGTGAGTTGCAGTGCTGGAAAATTATTTATCAGGATAAATCTATTCGTCACTCAGGATCGTATTTTTAAATGGATCCAGTCGAATCCTCAAGTTCGAGTTGGTTCAGTTCAAATGTCTTGTATTGAAAAATATTCTAATTCGCGCCTGCGCTAGATTTTGTACCCTAAGCTTTTCTAATATGCTTAAAACTTCATTTCAATGTTACCTTTAGGAAAAGATCATATACTAGATGCTTGACAAGTGTTATTATATACCAAGCGGTATATAATTTCTGATTTTTTCCGATCTCACTTTATTGATTTTATAAATATCTTACACGCTTTTAAATTTCTTTTTTGTGTAGATAGCAAACATCGACAGGTCGAAGAATCTGCTACGCTTGGTTTATTAATTGCAAACCTGCAACTTGTAGCCGCGTGATGAAACAATTTTCTCTTCTCTGAAATCTTCAGTATATATGAAAGAC